TTAACCTTTGTGGCCACCTTAATCCTTGCTCATTCTTTAAGACTAATTGGGGAAGATGAAAATAAACCATCTTGCTAGGAGCAGAGTGAAACACATAAGGACACCTCTTTTCCTCATTGTGCGAGTGTGAAAAGAGTGTAGGATATCCCCTAGCAAAGTAGGCACCAGATTGCGTGACATGAAGATTTTGACGGCGCTCACATCTATGAGTTAGTCAGGTTTGGGAAACAAAAGCATCCCATAGATGACAAGAGCCACAATTTCCTCAAAAACTTGCCAGTCTAAGGAATTCCAACAGCTCTGGGCTTTCTCAAACAGAAACTTTTCTAAGAAGCCTTTGACACCACTTCTAGTTTCCCAATGAGTTGTGACGTCAGATGAGTGCAAGTGCAGAGCTTGAGAAATCTCTTCTAGCTTTGAGTCTCTTTCCGTACCGTTGAAAGGTAGTTGATTGAGAATGGGAATCCTCAAGAGTTGAGAGAGTTCTTCCAATGTGGGCACAAGCTGATAGTCGGGAAATATGAAGCAATGGTGCAAAGGGTCAAAGAACTGAAAGAGCACCTTCATCATATCCTCATCTGTGTTGGAGGTGACCAAGTTGAGCAGACGACCATTCCTCTCGGTGAATGGATAATTATCAGGGATCCTTGAAGCTAGCTCCTTGAGTTGGGGAGGAATTCTTACAAGGTTGACTTGGATAGTTTTCCTGCGGAGTGAATCCATATCCTACAAAACAAGAACAAAGATGAATCTCCAAAATCCTTGAAATGGTTAGTGAATGCATATGATGTTCATGATGTCCATGATGTTATGCACAAGTATGTATATACAAGCAAAACAAATAAGTTCTTAGTTTAGGCTTGCATGGGGCTTTATAGGTAAGTACCCTCTTGAAGTTTAGTTGGCTTAAACCTGTCCTAGTAATAGTAACCGGGTTCTAAGGAGCTCAATATCATTGGATTTTTTCCTTGGTCATTGTTTCAGCTTAAGTCTATTTAATGGCAACCGAAATATCTCAATAAACCAACCCTCAATGAGTGTAGTATCGAGTATCTACCAACTTCGTACTTCACCAAAGCTGGTCATCTCACTACATCCTACAGGCCAAGTTGGTCAAGTAAAGGGTTCTAGAAGTTCATTAGTGCTTCATGACATCACTCAGCGGCCCCGTATTCTCTTTGATTGACTCAAAGGCTACCGGTACCCACAAATATGTCACACTAACATAGTTATTGCTTAGACCACGTCGGTATACCCCGCACAGTTTCCACAACGTATTGCTATTTACCTATAATGTTTCCCAAATCCGGGTGGAGGATTCAAACCCAAACAAAGAACCATAATGTAAAGCGAACAAGTCAAACAATGTAAGCAAATAAATGTGATCTAGTCCTAAGATAACCCCACTTTTATAAAATTCCCCAGCAGAGTCGCCAGTTCTGGTGATACGGTGGGAGAAATGACTTGAGGTTTTGCGTTTTATCGCAAATGTTGCAGTTTAGCAAGAGTCTCCACCGACTTTTCTTTTATCCAAAAGGAAAGGTGAAAAATCACAGGAAAGACCTTTGAGATTGTTCCTTGAGTTCGGGGGGTAGATTATGAAAAGGGAAGGTATTAGCACCCTTTTCATCCATGGTTTTCCATGGGCTCTTAGTTACTTGCTAGATCACTTGCTTTTTGTTTGATTGTGCTTGTGGTGTGGGTTTTGAAATTATTTTGAAAATGTAACTTTGTAATGGCTCTCGTTTCTATAAGAATGCATACAAAGTGTTTGTTTCTAAAATAGTTCAAAGATGTGTTTGTGAGATGTGTTTTTGAAAGTGATTTTGAAAACGTCTTTAAAGGATCCCTCGCTCAGCCGAGGAAGAAAACTCATTTGATCATCCACATATTGGAATGCAAAATTCCTAGGTCTCTGGAGAAGCCTCCATAACTCAATATCTATAACTGAAACAGAGATCCTAACAATCACATTGAGCACATGGATGGTTTGTTAGACTACTATTATACTAACGGAGATGTAAAGTGCAAGTTTTTTGTCGTCTCTTTAACTGAGTCCACTCAAGCCTGGTTTGATATATGCAAGACTTTCACCGCCCATTCACTGTTAGGAATATACAAACAATTAGCATGACCGTCCTTAGTGGAGTTTCACATGGCAAAAACAAAATCATACACACATACATTGACCACTTCAACAAGGTAGTGATTATTGTTGTAGGATTAGATAAAAGCCTCAAGTGTTGGATCTTTGAAAAATGACTTAGGTCAGATAGTACACTCCATGAAAAGTTAGGGCGCAATGAGGCCTGTAACCTGGAAGACTTGTCGATTAGGGAACAACCCTACATTATCTATGAGGAAAAACTATTGACTGATGGAGAAAATCAGGGACTGGGGGACTTTTGATCCTGTCGAACCTCGAAAAAGACTCTAAGAGGCCCAGGGAAGAACACAAGCGAAGGTCCATTTAAGATTTGACTCATACACTCCCCTGAACACCTCACGAGAAAGGAATTTGATTGTATGCACTAACACAAATTTCAAGGAAGTTAGGATTAAAAGCCCTTATTCGATTGGATAATTCGCTTGGACTAATAAATCCAAATATTGTTGTTTCCACAAAAGTCATGCGATAAAGGGGCTTTTTGGAAAGAGGAGGTTGTTTAAATACACTATAGACGACAAGAGGGGACGAGAAAACTCCTCAAAGAAGAAATAATTCCCCAAGAAAATTATCGAGGCATTGGCCAGGGGAAAAGGAAAAGAAGTAAGTATTGGAGAAGATGAAGGGAACAAGGGCAAACACCAATATATCGCCTATATAATCGGGAAAAATAAGTTATAATTGTATGTTAGATCAGACTAACAAGTCTTTCACAACATCATGGCCCGTTCTCCGTTGACTGACATTTAGTTGATTGACGTTTGGATTCTCATATATGACGTGTGAGTTGCACCATTGACAATTGAGAACATACTCTAGGACCATTCACATAAAGGCGACGCCTCACATTCAAAATCTCGCTCGAATGACTCAACTAAGTCTCACATGAAAGACTTAACTAGGTCTCTCCTAAGAGACTCAACTAAGTAAAAAAGACTCAACTAAGCCTTAAAAACTAAAGGTGAGAATATAAGCTTCGACTTACCTCTTGGGAAAGGTCCGAATGAGAATAAAGGGTTAGAACATTATGGCCTCTACAAGCCCTTGTGCTTGAGAGGTTTTGCAGTGGTATAACTAAAAAGGATCTCTGGGTGGGTGAAGGTCCTTAGAGTGGGGTGAAGGTATATGTTTTGTCTATCGTTTTTCTGAAGTCTCACTTTTGTTAGTTCAAGCATCATTTTCTCTGATAGGGCGCCTTTATTGCGGACGTGTCGCCCAGACACTTAGTGTCCCCGCTCATAATGTGTGATTGTGTTCAAAATGGGTACTGGGTCAATAGAAGTTACAAAGAAGTCATGAGATTCAACTACACTTCTTTTGATTCAATAGAAGTATTATTATTCATACTAAATTGCATTTCTAATCTGGATTCTTTTGATTCTGGATAGGGGTAGCAAATCAAGTTTGTCTCGCCGGGCAATGTCTGTTTTGCCCTCACTTTATGTGGGATGGATCAAGATTTTAGTCTCACATTCTCTAATGTGCTTGCTCCAACCCATTTTTTTACGTGTTTTCCCTGGAATAGATATTAACATACATTTTCTATTTGTAGTCTCAAAAAATAGTGTCTACGAGCCCGTTTCGCTCTTATTTTTTGTCGAACAATACAAAATTTTATGATCACACCTCAATTATGTTTGTCTTACCTGTCCCTTTTTTTTTTCGAGCTTTTGCAAAATGAATATGAACAGATGAGCACGTGTGATTGCCACCCTAAACTCTAACGTTACAAAGATGTATAGAATCTTTTTACACTAATAATACATCTTAGTTTATATGACATTTTGATCCTATAAAGTGTATTAGTTATTTGTTGTAGTTTTTAATTGCTTTCCACAAAATATTATTTTCAAGCAATTAAATGGCTAACATATAGTATTACATATAGTATTTCCTTTTGAATACGGCACCTTAACTTCCGCATATAAATGATGGGCGAGAATAGGGAGTGTCAAAGGAAAGAGTTATAATCAGTGGTTGAAATGAGACCCATAAAAATGAATTGATACGACATCTTGACACAATTTTTATGCAATAGATTTGAAGTATTTAAATTTATATTCTTTGCTTAATCTGATGCAAATCTGTCTATGCGGAACATTCACAACTCCACACTTACACTTTACAACACAATCCTCCCTACCCCCTCAAATCCATTCAAAAGATCAAAGATAGACTATAATGTTAGGCTCATTTCCACGTCTATCAGATGAATCATCCACCTATAACATCATAGTCACACTTTGCTAGTTTTAATTAGTACTCAGATTATATGAAAAAACTATTATTGCAAAGTTTTTTTAATCAATTTTATTAAGTGTTTAATGAGAAACTTATCACAACCAGCTCTGTAAATGATGTAATTATCACCAAACGCGAGCTCAGGTTTATTTATATTGAAAGACATATCATATGTAACTGAATGTTTTACCAAATTCCATGTTTCAGCTCTATAGTGTAGTTGATGAGCCCGAGAGTCCTTGAAAACAAATGGCAAAATGAAAGAGCATGCAAGGGACAAGTTATTTCCCAAAGTTTATAAACACTTTCACTATGTCATGAAACATGTATGAATCTCTTTTGCTCATTCCGAAAGACCTCTAGCCTAAACTAAAATAACTACAGAAGAAATAAAAGGGTTTAATTTCAACCTCATAAAGTAGCTTAATAGTCCTTTTAATTACCTTCTAATTAAGAAGGTGCCACATGGCTTTTCAACTCTCAAATTGATAAATACTATTCCATTTTAAATAACTAGAAGGAATGCTAAAGTTGTATATGATCTCTCCTAATGTATAAACGCTTACACACTACACAGTTTCTAGGAAATGTATCAAAGTTCATCACGTATTTGTGGTTCTAAAGGAGGGGCATGTATATTACGAACGTGATCAACTCTGATTTGATGAAGATTCATGTCATCTGCAACAGCTTGTGGTTTTATCTCTGCATGCCCCATCACACCAGCCTTTATGGCCTCAGTAACCTTTCTCTGTAAGGTAAGTATTCCAATACGCTTGGAAACAACATAAAGAACGGCAAGGGAGAACAATAGAAAGCCAACCCCAAGTATCACCCTGTTCATATACAGATTGAATGTTAGGATTTTAAAAAAAAACAAATGTGTGAGTGCACAGTAAAAAGGACAACCTGGTGCTACTACCAAACTCCGACCATGGTGAGATTCAGTGAAAAATCAAAATTTTCCTAACCTGTCTATGATATCTTGACGTTGCATTGTGGAGAGAAGATTTCTAGTTCTCATCAACAGTGAGCGGTGCCCTTTATATTCACCTTCAGCCTTTGTTAACACTCCTGTTGACTCATCTATATATCCAAGCAATTTATAAAACAAATAGATAGAATAAGATTATTTCATACTCCTCATAATCATAACCATATTGATGAAAACAACATCAGCGCCTCAATTCATCAAGTCAATAGTAGTATAACTCAACTAAAATTTCACCAAGCATAGCAGCAGAAATAGTGAACAAAAAATATTTTCATATATACACTAAAAGGATATTTCAGGTGTCATGGGATTGATTAACTGCATTAAATGTGTATTGTCCAGTTCTATATGTTTAATCACAATTTTGACAACAAGAACTAGGACAGAATAGAAGAGACAAGATGAAGTATTGCTCATGGGTATTTGGAGAGGATGGACTACAAACGACCAAGATTGAATTCCAACGTCATCTCTCTCCCCTTCCGTTTCTTCAATTCTATCCCTTGTCAACTATCCAAAGTCCTAAGTACTAAATAGTAGTTAGTTTGTTCGGTTTACAATGCCTAAACTACTTCAGAGGCTAGGCTAGGATTTCTGCCTAAAAGTATAGTCTCCCCACTATAAGACGTAAAAAAAAAAAAAAGTTCCTTGAATGCTGACTGCAGTCTTCCCGATGTTCTCCCAATCAGGTAGTGAACCCATTTGAATAAAGCTCCGATTACCATAAGTTTGATTACAATGGGGCCGAGGCTGGGTGGCTGCCGGGTCATTGTATCTTTAGCAAATAAACATGAAATATTGGATGGATTATGGCTGTGATCTGACTACTCCAGCTTGTATGCAGTATGTTCCAACCTCTCCAGGACATGATACGAGCCGCGGAAATGGTGGCTCAGTGTTTTATTAGGTTGCTTAGACAACGACCTAAGTTTGCAAGGATGTAGCTAGAGAAAAACAGAAAAATTCAACTTTCCTATCCCACTGCCCTCTTATGTCTGTTAGCATGGGCTCTCAACTGATCTTTAAAACTTGATTACATTGTCAGTCCCTATGCAAACCCTTTCAAAGTGCAAACCCTTTCAGATAAAATGTCAATCCCTATGCACACATATATAGCCCAGCTTAAAATTATTTTATGCATTTTTCTTTGTCTTGACATAAATTTCATATCACCAAAAAGAAAACATAGTGTATGCCTATATAAATTAAAAACTAGATGTAGAAAGATAAAACAAACATCATTAATATAAAGAGGAGAGAGAAAGAGAAAAATATACCTACCAAGAGTCATAAGTGTGCTTGTGTTTCTTTCAACTTCCTGATTAACACATAGATACAATGAGTACACTAATTAATCCATTTTTATGAAGGAAAAAGCATTTATGAAATAACGATGGAGAAAAATATTACAAGACAGGATCATGATCAAACTAAGGTTTAGAAAGAAAGATACCTAACCTAACCACTAACCTGAACCATCAATTGACGAGTACGGCGTAGGCTTTCTGTGATGCTCTCTGCTGCAGAGGTCATTCCAGCTTTTGTCCTGTACAAAGAAAATAGATTTGAGGATTAAACTACTTCATCACAGTACATACAAAGTCCCAAATAAAATTTCCAATGAAATAGCACTTAAAAACAAATAAAACTGTTAGAACAAGTTAACCCAAGCTGAAAACTGAAGCAAGTTCAATGACATACTGCAAATTGCGTCTGCGGACTGTGGACTCTTCTCCACCGCCTAGAAGTAGTTCTCTCTGCATCATATAGAAACATAATAAATCACATTGCACTCTCCAACTCATCACCAATCAATTCAAACAAACACAACATACATATCCACAACTACAATATCACTAATAGGTTCACATTCGATGATTAGAGGATAATGTCCCAATAACCAAAAAATCAAACCAGAAAAGTATTAAACCAAAATAAGCAACACAGTGTTTAGGTTATATTAAAGGTATTCAAGTAAGAATATTGCCTCCTCCTGAGCAGCTTTCCTTAAGTTAGCCTTGGCTTGTAGATTAGCATTCCTCAAACTCATACGCAAACTGTTCAAAACACACAAACAAAACGCAACTCATGACTATTCCAATCCAACTATTTTGAAGAAAGTGAATCGCCAATTTAGTCATGGAATTGTAGGAAAGTGTCAACTTGCTTTATAAAATTAACGAAATTTCAATGTAATCACTTAATTTGAAATTCTCAATCGCATTAACCTCTGTCACACATCTTCATAAACTAAATTCACCAATCTAAAAGGACTAATCATATAAATAGACATTTTCAATTCGAAGGACTATCTTTGAAATGTTGAAAATTCTAGAGACTAAGTCAACATCGCACATACTCACTCATTTTAAATCTATATTCTTTAGAATCAAGTGAATAACCAATTTTGTTCCTCAAAATTGTAGGTGTAAGTGTAAGACAATTTTTTCCCTCAATTAGGGTTGTTCATCCTATTGTTTAGTGAGAAAACCAAACCAAACCAAACCATAGTAAAAATTTACTCGAACTGAACCGAACCGTTTCGTTTTACTCGGAACTGAATTGTTTCAATTTACTCAGAAACGAACCGAACCAAACCATAGTAAAAATTCACTTGAATTGAATCGAACCGTTCCAATTTTCTTTGAACCGAACCGAACCAAAATCATTTGTTTGGTATACCGTTTCAAAATTCCAAACCGTTAAAAGTTAATTTTTTTTCCAAACCAAACTGTTAAACTATTTTTAAAATTAAAATTAAATAAAAGTTGTTTTAGTATTTTTCGTTTTCAGTTTCGGTTCGGTTCTAGAAGTGTTTGTGCAATATGGTTTGATTCCCTAACCAAACATAACAGTTCAATTTCGGTTCCGTAGATCGATTCAGTTCATGGTTTTTTTGAATAGCCCTACCCTCAATATTACAAAATGGTAAATTAGTCTTCCCAATATTAAAGACTAGGAATTACTATAGTCCCTCTATCAATCAATTCAATCAATTTTGGTCATCAAAATATTAAATTCAAAGAAGCTAAACAAATTTCTAGAAACATGCAAAACTGAGCATCAACGTTTCTAATCATGTGACAGAGTAATTTGGATATTAATAAATATGAAAAACCAAATTGCTAAACTAAATCCCTACAAATTCGAGAGATTCAATTCAATTCAGTTATTTGCAATCCAATAAAAACCAAGCAAAGAAAGAGAGAGGGAGTGTACTTTTGAGTTAGGGTTTTCCATGATTGAAGCAATTCTCGAGCAGAATCAACCTCTTGTTGAGAAGGCAACTGTGGAGCGTGAAGATCGAGGTTGAAATGCAGAGAAGAAAGAAGGGATAAACCATCCTGAGCAATACCATTCAATCTAGCAAGTGAATTTTTCTCATCCTCTTTGGATCTTCCTGATTTACCGTACTCTCCAATTGATTTAATGTGATTTTGGGTTTTTGTGTAAGCTTCGTCCCATTCCTTTTTCACTTTTTCAACCTCTTCCACAACCATGTCCATTTTTCACAATAGAAGAAAAGCGATTGCGGTGATAAGAGAAAAGGGAGAGAGATTGAAATTGATGCTGAGAGAGTATGAATCAGATTCAGAGTCTGACAGTGTACAGAAAGGGAGATGTGAGAGCGACCCGAAACGCCAATGAAACAAGGAGCGAAAATTCAGGTTGCAATATGAAAATTCGAAACGCAAAGTGCATAACTAAATAAGACCAGATCCGAATCGTTACCGAAGACGAAAATAACGTTAATCGAAGTATGGTGCTGAAATTACTTACGCCGCTCAGTGTCGAACTAACTTGCTGCTTGGAGATGTTGAACGTTGATGTTGGCTCTGAGGATGAGAAACAGACGGACCGGGTCGGGAGATGGAGCTCCGGGTTAGGACAAATTGAAGGGGATGATATTCATGAGGAAATGATGTGAAGCGAAATTGAAGGGTCTGTGCGGTTCAAACAGAGAGAAGGGAGAAGGTTGTATGAAGAACGGTATCGATCTGCGTTCTCTTTTCTTGGATCTGATATTTTCCTCCTCCGTGTTTTATCGATCCACCCTTGTTTATACACCAAAAAAATAAAAAACTTATCCCAACAATAGGTATTATCAAAAGACCCAAAACCCCCTCTCAATATGATGTTATGTGATCTTTTTAAAAGAAAACTAATAAATATAAAACAAAAGAATATTTCCGCTCGACACAGCTGCCTATTCCCCTCGGCGTATCTTACAACATTGTACCGTTTGACATCTAGCACCTGTGCTCCTCGACACATCTTGTTACCTTATGCCTCTCAACGCAAATCCATGTGCTCCTCGGCACGACGCGTCTTCACATTTTTGCACAGATTTCGTCCAGTCCGTGACGAACTTTAACCCATTCTTACAGTATTCTCTTTGACCATTAATTTCTGATCAACCGTACGGAAATAACATGGCAATGGGGCAACTATATCTCCTACTAACAGGTTTATCAATTGTACCAAACAGTCATGCATAGGATTCATAAACGACCACAACATGGAAACTGGCAACTTTCAATAACAGGTCAGGAACAATCAACGCACAACAATTATACCCACGACCAACCCATATACAGTATTCATCATAAGCCCCATTATAAAGTCAGAACCCCACCCTTACTTTGGATTGAAGGTCGCTCGACACTCTCCGACCGGAACTTGCTTTACTCTTCTCCTTATTTCTCTTCTATACACTTCTCACAACCAATTTTTCCAACAACTTCTCAATTAACCTTATTCCTTTATTTTAAATAGAACCTCACGGTGTTATTCCTAATGGGCTTAACAACACACCCCCTATATTTCTACTTCCAACCATTAAAATAGGCCCAACATAATTATTCTATTATTCTACTAATTCTAGTATTATTACTACTATTAATCAACTAATTAATTAACTAGTAATAATTTAGCAACTTATACCAACAATTCACAATATCTCACAACTTCAACGAATAATTCAAAAATAATTTAATTAAATAATTAATTAAGTTAACGGGCGTTACAACTCTCCCCCGCTTAGAATATTTTCGTCCTCGAAAATTTACCTTGTTCAAACAACTCGGGATAGGATTCCCGCATCTTATTTTCCAACTCTCATGTCATGCTTTCTCCGGTAGCTCCTAACCAGACTACTTTCACCAAATCAATCTCCTTTCCTCTTAGAGTCTTCATTTCACGATCTGTGATTCATACAGGCATCATCTCCATAGTAAGATTATCCCGTACTTGCACATCATCCATATGAATCACATGAGATGGATCTGAAATATACTTCCGGAGTTGTAACACATGGAACACATCATGCAAATTCGAAAGATTAGGCGGTAAAGTCACTCTATATGCAACCTTGCCAACTCTGTCTGAAATCTGATACAGACCAATAAAATGAGGAGTGAGCTTCTTAGACTTCAATGCATATCCAACACCAGTCACAGGTGTAACTCTTAGAAACACGTGGTCACCTGCCTGAAATTCTAAATCTTTCCTTCAGTTGTCATGATAACTCTTTTGTCTACTTTGGGAAGCTTTCATCTTTTCTCGGATTAACTTCACCTTCTCGGTAGTTTCTCGAACAAGTTCAGGTCCAAGTACTACGCTTTCCCCAAATCCATGCCAACATAAAGGAGTTCTACATCTCTGACCATACAATACTTCAAAAGGTGTCATTCCAATACTAGAATGGTAAATGTTATTATAAGTGAACTCTATTAATGGAAGATAAGTATCCCACAAACCTCCCTGCTTAAGAACACATTCTCTCAATAAATATTCCAACGACTGAATAGTCCTCTCCGTCTGACCATCCGTCTGAGGGTGATACGCCGAACTTAACCTCAACTTAGAACCCAACACCTCTTTCAAACTCTTCCAAAAATATGAAGTAAACCTCAGATCTCTATCCGACACAATACACAAAGGAACACCATGCAGCTTTACAATTACACTAGTATAAATATCCGCCAACTTCGACACTAGAAAGCTGATGTTAATAGGAATAAAATGAGATGACTTCGTAATCCTATCAACAATGATCTAAATTGTATCACGCCCTCTTGAAGTATTAGGTAATCCTGTTACAAAATCCATTGAAATGTTATCCCATTTCCTTTCTTGAAATTCTAACGGTTGCATCATCCCTGCAGGTTTCTGATGTTTAACCTTCGACTTCTGACAAGTTAAACATGTATACACAAACCAAGCCACATCACTCTTCATTCCAGGCCACCAAAACAAATTTTTCAAATCTTGATACATTTTTGTAACTCCCGGATGAATGCTCAACTTGCTTCTATGACTTTCCTCAAGAATTACTTTCTTCATCTCCGTATCATCAGGAATGCAAATTTGATTACATAATCTCAACACACCTTGTGCGTCTAACTTCAAATCTTTATTCTCAGACTGATCGATCCCAACCATCGAGTCTACCAATTTCACATCTAACTTCTTAGCTTCTTTGATACTATCCAGAAATTCATTGTTAATCTTCAATATCCCCAACATAACACTCAGCGGTGTCACTTCGTAAACTAAGCTCATATCTCTGAACTGTTCAATTAATTACAACTCTTTAACCATCATTGCCGACATATGTAAAGTCTTTCGACTTAACGCATCAGCCACCACATTTGTTTTTCCTGGATGATAATTCAAATCAAAATCGTAATCCTTTAATAACTCTAACCATCTTCATTGTCTCATGCTCAATTCTTTCTGATTAAATAGATATTTTAAACTCTTATGATCGCTAAATACTTCAAATCTAGAACCATAGAGATAATGTGTCCAAATCTTGAACATAAAAACAACTGCAGCAAGCTCTAAATCATACGTGGGATAGTTCTTTTCATGAGTCCTCAACTGCCTTGACGCATAAGTAACTACCTTTTCATTCTACATAAGCACACCTCCTAAGCCCATCTTGGAAGCATCACAATATACTACAAAAGGTTCTCATGAATCAGGTAATGTTAAAATCGGAGCCGATGTTAATCTTTTCTTCAATTATGTAAAACTTTCTTCATACTGAACATCCCAGACAAAAGCTTTACCTTTACAAGTCAACTTAGTCAACGAAAGTGCCAACTTAGAAAAACCTTCGATAAACCTTCTATAATAACCAGCTAATCACAAAAATCTTCTAATCTCGGTAGTCGACTTTGAAGTTTCCCATTGCAACACAGCATCTACTTTAGATAGATCTACAACATGCCACTACCTGAGATAACATGATTAAGAAAACTAATCTCCTTTAACCAAAATTCACACTTAAACAGCTTTGCATACAACTTCTTCTCTTTCAAAACTTGCAATATTATTCTTAAGTGTTCTGCATGCTCTTCTTCCGATTTATAGTAAATCAAAATGTCATTAATGAACACCACTACAACCCGATCCAAATAAGTATGAAAGATACGGTTCATGTACTCCTTGAATACTCCTGGCGCATTAGTAACACCGAAAGGCATCACAAAATACTCATAATGTCCATAACGCGTTCTAAAAGTCGTCTTCTGGATATCTTCATCATTCACTTTAATCTGATGATAACCCGACCTCAAATCAATCTTACTAAACACTCGAGCACCCACCAATTGATCCATCAAATCGTCTATTCTTGAAAGCAGATACTTGTTCTTAATCGTCACTTTATTCAATTGTCTATAATCAACACAAAGTCTCATACTTCCATCTTTCTTCTTTACTAGAAACATTGAAGCTCCCCACCGTGATACACTAGGTCTTACAAATTTCTTTAAAAGTAACTATTTCAATTGCTTCTTTAATTCTGACAACTCAGATGCAGACATCATGTATGGTGCCATAGAAACAAGTCTGGTACCAGGTACAAGATTAATAGAAAATTCGACTTCTCTCTCTGGCGGTACATCAGGAATTTCATCAGGGGAAACTTCAGGAAGTTCACGCACCACTTACAATTCCTCAATTATAGCTTGATTCTTGACAGATAGCGACGCCATCAACGATAACATCGGAGCCTCATCTTGCATCAACTACCACAACTGTTTAGAATATAACATACCATCTTCCTCCTCTTCAAGAGTAGAAAACCTCACGGACTTGTTATAACAGTTAATATGAACATAGTTATGCTCTAACCAGTTCATACCTAAGATCACATCTAACCCACTTAAAGACAAACAAACTAAATCAACAGCAAAGTCTTTGTCGAAGATCGAAAACAGGAACTTTAAACACACAAAAGAAGTAGTCACCGATCCCTTGGCTGGAGTATCGACGACCATCTCTCCATTCATAGAAGACAACATAAGACCCAGTCTTTCAACACAACCAGCAGCAATAAAGTAATGAGTAGCACTGGTATCAATAATAGTAATTAAAGGAGTACTATTAATGAGACATGTACCTCTGATGAGTTTGTCCTTATTAGATGTTTGAGTCTCAGCCAAAGCGAACACTTTTCCACTAGTTTGCGCCTTCTTTGGTTTCTAACACTGAC